AGAGCTTTGAGTGTCTTCATAAGACAGAAAGGCACTATATAAGTACAGTCCATGACCTGACTGAACTTTATTGGATTTTTTTTTAACCTGGATTATTGAGCATGAACTTTGATACAGTCCATTTACTTTTTAACACAGATCCAGGTGGTTGTAAAATAGCATTAAAATAGCATTTTTGAGACCGTAGTTGTTGATTGATGACAACTGTCCACTATGGTCTTATTCAGACTTGTCATTAGTTCATCAATCCGTCTGAATCAAACTTTTTTTAAAATTTTTTGGCTCCAAACCTGTGGTCATTCAAAGAACTAGCTATCAAGAAATGAATCACAATCTTTCTACACAGCCCAACTTAACAAGACAAGAGTTGCCCCTTTAAAAAAAAAAAAAAAAAGAGATTTTCAAGCATTAAAGAAAATTGAAAAACTCTTGACAAAAGTCTGCCACATATCAGAACCTCATTTTCGTGCCTAATTTTGACCAGCAAGTGGCAGTGTTGTTTAGCAAATCTGCACTCTTTTCATTTCCAAACTAAACCCAGTCTTCAGGCCTTCACTCCTCTGTTGGGGCTGTAATATCACTTCCCTCTTATTGAGCTGACCTGTGACACCATCAGAGGGTTGTACGGGTGCAGCATATTGACATGCCTGTAAGGCCACATGGCTGTTACATCATCCACGTATTCATCACCGGGAGACGGTTTCTCCTGCACTTCAAACAACCGGAGTCAGCTTGGCAACGTCTCAGCAGTCAGAGGAGCACGCATGAATATTAAGTGATGCTAATCACAACGGAGAGACCAGCGTGGAGACAGCTGACAGACAGTTCTCAGCATTCAATTGACGTCCTCAGATTTGTCCTCTGTTTGACGGCACCGTCTCCAAACATGACAAGTCTGTTTAAAGCTCAAGCACACACACCGGCGTGCACAGCTAGACATGAACTGACGCTCGTTTTACTCAAACTGGGCCACTGTCTGTGTGTGGGTATAGCAAGACTCAGACCACTACTTTTTAACCATACACAAACTCATAACTCAACAACAAAACTAAAAAGATGATTTAGACCACTCCGACAGTTGCTAAATGTAAATGAGGATGCGACAAAATATTCTCAAGAACTGTTTTTCAATCATCAAATCTGGATTTGCTGCATCTGTATTAAGCTACAATGTGTTCCGGATCCGACTGCGAGGATAAGCCCTTCACTTCATTATCATCCTCTCTTTGTGTATCCGAGCCAAGCAGAACAAAGCAGTGGATCAGCCTCAGCGGGGAGTAAAAATAAATAAATAAGAATGAATGGCAGGTGTGGTTGTTTGACTTTCAAATCGCCCAGGCATCTATTCTATTAACCTGCCGTGTAAATAAATACAGAATTCAATTTCCATGGAGTCACGCAATAAGTTGACAGTCCTCAAAAAGATCAAACGGTGCTCGTGAGCCACGCTCGGAAAAAAAGAAAAAAGAAAAGAAAAAACCTTGGGTGTGTGAAAGGTGTTGACACCTTGAGCAACCCACAAAAAGAGACAAATGTCACATCCTCAGACACAATTACTGAGTGAACCCTTGCTTTCCGAGCAGCACTTCTTCCAGCTTCATATGGAGGAGCTCCTCCAACTAGGGATGCACGATATTATCGCCATGGTATCGGTATCGGCCAATATTAGCGATAAAGTTAAATATCGGACATCGGTCATTCCATCAAAATAACTCACTGATATAAAAGGCGCTATATATATCTATATCTATATCTATCTATCTATCTATCTATCTATCTATCTATCTATCTATCTATCTATCTATCTATCTATCTATCTATCTATCT